AAACTGTATCTCTTGAAAGATGCAAAGCAGAAGAAAAATCTGGGACAGGAAGGTGAACTAGGATATATGGCCACAAAAATGTTTCATCCCAGATTTTGCAAGTCTGGCCCGACCCTAGAGAAGCACACGAGCTTACTTACCACAGCTGTCTGTGGGCTGCAGTGCAGCCTTGCAATCCTGACAGCACAAGTGCACGCTCCTTCCACGATACCCGAGCTGGAGCCTACTGGTTTACGAGAAGGGAGCAGCTCGGCACTGTCTACACTGACTCAACACTGCTCCTAAGCCAAACAACTTCGGCTTGCCTCTCCTCTATCTCTGTAGCATGCACAGGGTAGACTTGTGGGCAGAATCTGTTCCAACACATTCAAACAGAATTTCAGTTCAAGTAAGTTTAAGCAGGTCCACTGATACTCAAGGAATACAGCAAGCCCCAAACTCATTTTTATTCAACTCAGTGAAGTTCCTGGTGAGTTCTAGTTTGAGAACACGCTCTTTAATAAGCGCTCCAGCTACAGCTCTGCAGAGAAGTCAATCCATTTCGAAAAGCTCCACATTTAAAGCATTATACGCTGTACTTGCAATTAAAAATAAAATCTGTATTTTAACTGTGACAAATTGTTTAAATTAATTTTGTTGCGAAGAAAAAAAAAAAATTTGCCAGTGACATGTTAGTAGAAGTTATGTTCTGACAAATTGCGTTCTGGTTTTGCTAAATTCACTGCTTCCATACATAAATAATAAAAGAAAGAAAAGAAAGTGTGTCACAGCACAAAGAGTGAAACATCACTATTTATTCACCTTCACAGGTAACACACCCATGTAAGAAAGTTACCTCGTTCCATTTTCCTCCCAGTCTCCTGCTGTCAGCAGTTGCTGAAAGCAGAAAAGCGTTTAAGGAAAAGAAAGGTGGCTTCAAAAATCAAGAAGCCAAAGGAGAGGAGATACGGGAACAGGCAGGGCCCCTCTGACATCCGACTCCTGCTGGTGCTGGGGGAGCACGAGGGGAACGAGGACGGGGTGGCAGCCAGGCTTAACACGCTTTCCTTCCACAGCTGCCGCTGCCGCAGACACAATCCTGAGCCAAACGCACCGTTAACACGACCCATTCCTCACACTAATATTTTTCCATGATTTTTTTTTTTTCCCCAAAGATGGAACATACAGAGAAAAATATAAAGGCAGGGAACCTTGTTCCCTGACACAGCAGCACGATGGCAACCAGTGCAGTTGAACACCCCCCTCTCCCCCCAGGATTCTGCAGATGGAGTGAAATTCAGCAGTAGGACCCCAACAGCCCCCACAGCACAGACAGGGGGAAGAGCCTAAAGCCAGGGAGTTTATTGGGAATTCAGAAAAAACAGAATCTCCACGTGGGGGTTAATGGGTCTACACTAAATTTTTTGGTTGGGTTTTGAAAAAAACACCCACTTCCGAGAGGGGCCCACACTTCACATGGCTGTACTGCATGATGAAGCTTTTTGGTGGTGAATACACGTTTTCTCTCGTGATTTTGCATAGAGGAAAAACCTGGAAAACACAATGGTGATCAGAACGAACCCGTGCGAAGTGAATCACATGGGACTAACATCTGGTAGGAGTAAGAACGTAGTAGTTGCCCCAGCTTCATCCCAAGAAAAACCCAGGAAAGGTCTCAAGTTCTGCACTAGTGACAGAGCATTCCTGATTGCAAGGGGTGCTGCACATTCGGCAATCTGGTGTTACACTGGCAGGAACAGGAATTGGCCATTTCTGCTCTTTACCCATCCAGCACAAAGAATAAATGTAACGGTGAACAGTGCTGGACTGAGCACTTCCCGTAACAAGAAAAATAACTGGAAACCTAGATCTCCCCTGCAGCAAGATGCCCGAGCTGACGCAGCACTGCCATCCATTCCGTGTTAACATACCCGAGACCCTATTTTTTTTTTTTTTTCTTATTTTACATCTCTTTTCACCGGTAAGTCATTAAAAGACAAATCAGAGGCAGTGCCTCAAAGGTTTGATAATTAGCCCAGCTGTAAAAGAGACAGACAATTTCTGTGACTAAGAACACAGCAGGGCACCTGCTGAAACTCAGTGGGAACCAACTTTAATTCCTCAAATCTTTAAAAATTTGTGTTGGTGAAGAAAGGACTAAGACTTGACTACAGTCTGTTCAGTCTCACCAGTAGCATACAGGTTCCTTCCGACTGAAAGGACACGACTTCATGAGCGTTTCTTAAGGTGATTTACACAACTTCCCCCGCGGCGGCTACATCAGGGTACCTATCCTGCCCCAGAGCTGCAAGGGGGCAAGAGGAAGCAGAGTTCCCTGCCTGACATGAAGGCTGATGGGTTTCTTGCTCTCAAGAGCTCTCCTCAGAAGTTTCAATACCCATTTCTGAGCAATAGTGTAGCTGGGCTTTGGTTTTGGTTTAATCAGGATGAACATCGTAAGATGGAGAGAACAACTTTTTTTTTTTCCTGAAAAATGAAAAGGAAATCATGTGCCTTCTTTTAATTCCATCTTTCTAATAAGGCTAGAAGTGGAGTAAGCTTGATTAGCCTATTCATGAACACAGTTCTGATTCTTCTGAAAAAAAGTCAAATTCCAAATTGCACAATAACAATCCAATTCCTGTAGGGACAAAAGAGACAAAATATGAACAATTAAGTAAAAGCCTAATTCTATTTTGAAGAACATCACCTTTCATCATGGATCATTTAAAAACATCATGAGCAAGTTCTAAACAACAAAACCAGTAATGAACATGTGGCAAAAGTACAAAACTTCTTTGCACAATTAACAGATAATTTAAGTGTTAACACTAGCGTAAAATATCTAGGCGTTGTTTCATTTAATTTTGAAAATACCACATAGAAAACAATGCTCATAATTCCATCCACAGGATTCTACAAAGCTGCTGCTTCATTCAACAAATCTTTGTGCTGTTTCAATATGAAAATTCCTATTTGTCAAACTGCTCAAAAATAATTGCAGAAAATTTCCAAGCACTTGAATTGAAGCACAACCAAAGTATGAACTTGGTACATTTTTGCAGTTATTTCTAAAATAAGTTAATTTACATAAGTAGTCTCAAAATAACACAATGGGATTCAACTTCATTGTAGACATTTGGAAAGCAGTGTCATACTTTATTTAAAATAAACCCATGTAAAAACAAAGTTTAAATGAAAATGGTACCTGAAAAATAAATTATTTGATATAAAACAAATCAATAACTTAAAAACACACTAAATATACAAAATGTTTAACCATATACTGTACAGTATGGAAAACAATTGATAAAACCTTCTGTCCCACAAACAGATTAATTTATAAACAAAAGATTACATAAGGGAAATTAAATCAATAAAAAGACTAGAAGTACAGTATTAATTCAAAATTACTGGTCAAATAAAGGTTTATCCCAACTTATGTTTCAAATGTCTCAAGTAATTTTCTTCGCAATGACCAAGTGAAAAGGTTCAGCTGTACCACTGAAAAGTTGCTGAAAAATTTTTTAAAAATAAGGAACAACAGCATGAGGATAGGATTCTAAAACGTGAACACAGTAGCAATTTTTCAAGGTTTCAGGTGGCAGTTCGAGTACTGATTTTCCATCATTGTCAACAAAAAGATTTTAAGTGCTGAAAATTCCACTCAACAGAAAAATATTTCTAGTTCAACCTTCGTAAATGTTTTACCAAGTGTGATATATAACAAATAACCGCAGCAAGACCCCAAAAAAACAGTAACAGAATTCACGTCTACTCGCTGGGTGTCATGTTTTGCTTTAGAGATCATGAAGGCTTCAACTGTTTTGTTTTTTTTTTTTAAATCATGCAGGAGAAAGCGACACTTTAGAAGTCTTGTTTAGTTTTACTACACAAGACTCAGACAAAAACGATGCCGTACCTAACTCATCTCAGAGTGGACACTTTGAGAAAGGAACCGCAATTTTCCATTCTGCCAGCCGTGTCACGGAGAAGCCACAGAACAGGCAGGCACCACCTCTTACAAGCAAGAGAGAGGTAATTGCAACCGTATGAACTCCGCATTTTTAATTTTTTTTTTAATTATTAAGTAGAAAACCCAGTAAGGTATAAAACCCAAAGATAAACACTAGCCTCGTGACCTTCGTATTTATCAGTTCTGTTGTGCTGAGTATCCCAACACTGACAAGTGCAGAGCTACGTTAGAGGAACTTGCCTACGGCACAGAGTCTTCTGCTTCCAAATACAGAGATTGAAGTACCTAGGGTGACAAACGCAGTTCTTGGGGAGGAGGAAACAAAAAAACACACAAAAAAACCCCAAAACCAAAAAAAACAAAGTACGGCTCCACTAAGGGAGCTCAAAGGGAGCTGTGTTTTCTTACGCTAAATGTGAATTTGGTCCCTTCACCCTAAAGCTATTCTTTGGAGCCTAAAAATAGAAATGTTACAGTAAGGTGCTTCACTGAGAGTGTTACAAAGGACAAATTTCCTCATTAGAGAAGTCAAAAATATGGTAACCTTATGACAGAGGTAGCATTAAGACAAATTGCTCTGGATTTGACTTTTGTGATTGAACCATGAGATCACCATCAGCAGTTCACAAAAAGCTGTATGCTAAAGAACCTCCCACAAACCCTAACGCTTTGCAGGTAGATATATCAGAGGACCTACTTTCAATAAACAGTTTATTATAAGACCTGTTTATTTTGTTAAAAACTAAACATGGGGACAGTCTCCAAGGTGTTTTTGTTTTTGTTTTTTTTAAAAAAAGCACACATGTAACTATAAACTATCCCAAAGTAACTTCAGTTATTACAGTTAAGAATACACTGGAAAAAAAAAAAATCTCTCCTGAAATATTTGAAGAATCTCTACTTTATTGACCTTACCCAGAACATTAAAGAAACATAAGATTATAATAAACGTTTAAGGACCTTCAGGACTATTCATTTCCAAAACTTAGCATTCAAAATAATGGATTGCCTTTACACATATTCATCATTTTGGTTTTAACTGCTGAACAGTCCTTCTATAAATGTAACTATGCCAATTATCTTTTTTTTAAAGCTTTTTAATTGCTTTGTATAAATAACATTACTACAACGTTCGATACCCCTACAAAAATAGGTGTCCTCTCCATACTGACACCCTTTGGTCATCTGGACGAATGTAAGTGACCACAAAGTGACCAACTAGTACTCACTGCAGTGAGAAATTTATCCTACTTTAGTGACTTGTGTATCTCTGAGTTGTCAGCGGGTTCCATGCCATCATGATACAGACAGATGAGAAAACGTGACCAACCAAAGAGAAGGAAAGGTGTGCGGACACACACCACCGTGGGGTGCTGTTCTGGACAGTGGTGTTTCCTGACTTCTCCTTCCACCCTAAAGGATGGATCCTCAAGTCCTTCTCAGTCCCAGAGCTAGAACAGAAGCGAAGGGATTGGCACAAGCTCGGCACGGGAGGCAACATTAACTGCATTGGCTGGGGTCCCCTCCCTCAGAGAAGAGTGGAGCACAGCGTGTCAAGTAAACCAAACTTACGACGACGTAGCTTGAAGAACAAAATAAATTCAACACTTCAATATACAGACACCATCTAAAATTGAATCATAAGAAAGCTAAACACACTAAGCTGCTTTGATTCCACTCATGTTTATCGCTTTTCTGATGTCGCCATCTCCTTATCTGAAGGAACTGTACTCGCCTCTGCCAGCTTATACCAAGTACACAGCAACAGTAGAGTTTCCTTCTCCACATTTACTGTGAAATTTCCCTATCTGCAAATGGTTAACAGAAGGTTTAAACTGTGATTAGGCTTGTGGCTAGCTTTCTGCACAAGGGTGAATTCCATTCACAGTGGAAATTTGGGAAGCAAGTGTAAGTTACTGAGCAGGAATAAAAACTTGCATTAATAAATCAACAGACTAGAAAAGACCAAGTCCGAATAAAGCCTTCAAGGAATTTTAATTTTGACAAAACTCGAATTTTCGTACATACTAAGGAAACCGGATTTCTTTTCCAAAATTTGTTTTTATACTGTACAACACAACTAAAGCCCAGAACATCTGCAGAGGAGTTTAGAGGTGGTCTTCAACCATGACCAGGACAGTCTTGCTCTCAGCTAGGCATTGTCTCATTTTGGAGTGAAACTCCACAGTCTCACAAAGAATGAAGACTGCTCACGTGCAATTCTGGAAGCAGCCCCATAACAAGCACGGGTAGCAGCCATGCCTGGGCCTGTCAAGAGCCTTACTGGAGTACCAGATACAAGCGGTATTTGAAAAAAGTGGAGAAGGGATAGGTATCAAGTAAGGGCAGCAGAGTTTCCCTTTCAAAAGAAATACCGAGATGAAACAAAGTGATGCTAAAGCTAAAAGTGACAAAGCAGTATTAAAGTGACATTGGATATTCAGGAAATTTTACCACTTGAAAAAAATAATTGGCTTAACATTCAAAGTCCTGAAGACTGACCGAGTCCCAGCGTAAGATCCCGCCCTTGCACGGTGAGAAGCGTTTGTATTGGCACAGAAGCCAAAGGTGACCGGTTTGTACGCTGCCTTCCAAACCAGATGGCTCACGGCCAGTGAAGGGAAAACCCAGGGTGACTCACCTACGGAAGCAAAGGGCAGTTTCTAATGAAGTGCTGAGTATTCACATGCAAACAAATTCTCTCTTTGTGAAAGCAAGTGAGTTTTGGACAAAGCAAACAGGTCCATCTGAAAATAAAGCCCAGGTGAAGCCTGACAGTGGTATCACTGGTCCTGCCGTTCCTGTTCCCAGTCAGCAGATCTTCAGCTCTGAGGACAGCTACCCTGACCACAAGGGGACTGATGATAAAGCCTTCTCTCCCCTTTTCTTTCTAAACACAGACAGGTAAGACTTCTCATTTTGTCACCACATTTGTCTGTTTGATCAAGTAAGTGTAAAAAGGAAGTGGTGTCACCCAAATTGCAGGTTCAGGAAAGGCAGACTGATCCCTTCAGAAATGCTGGCACAAACACCAAACACTGCCCCCCGAGATATGGGAAAGCCTCTCTATGAGGCCCTGAAATAGCAGCCTGGCCATAACTGTGTGTTTTCGTAAGGAATTATACCTGATCCTTCAGAAGCAGGTCCCTGGGGGAGTCCTGCAAGACTTCTAAACTATTCTGAAGGACCCCACAACATTCCCATCACAGCTGTTCCCTGTAGCACATCTCCAGTATGGACCATCAAACCCAGGTCCTTAAAATCTGATCATCACATCCTAACGCAGCATCCAAAACTTTCCAGTACTCATGACTTCATTCAGCCTACTGCATCTGACCACAAAGGTAAGAGTCCTCTGGTTTGAGACAGGCCTTTGGTTTTACGAAGATTTTCTAAGCAGAGACAGAATCGTCACTTGAAGGAAATGTCTGTTCCATCAATTAAAGGATGAAAAGCAGAATGTATCTGCAGTTTTTTAAACCCCCTGAGGATTAAGAGGTGAAAACCTCTCTTGAAGCAAGTATGTCCAATGCAGACCTTCAAAGGGGGTATGCTGGATGACATGGTAAGGAAACCAGCTGCTCCTACCTTTCTGGTTAGAACTGCTGGCAGATTTGTTGTTAGAATTTAGCTTCCACTTCCAGAAACTTCCTTTTGTTCTTTGTTGTTCAGGACCAAACGCATCAAGAATATCTACACAATCCTTTCTTGACCAGACACTTACGCCAAGTTCTTCTTGACTGTTAGAACAGTGCAGACCACATGCTTCAGGTATCAGCTCTTAATATTTTAGCAGGATTTTTCTTCCTCTTTTCCTGACCCAAACAGCAGTTCTTCGTTCACACAAATTGCCTGGTAACTATTTTCAGAGCAACTATCAAATGAAGATGGGATCAGATGTTTCCCAAAAGAGATGTTTTCATACTGCTACTGAAACAGTTTCCTGCATTTCCTTCTTATTTAACAAAGAATGAGAGATGGAAAAACAGGGAAGCATTCAGATGACAGTGATGCCAAAAAGCCTCCAAGAAAAGTTTTATTAAAGCAGTGACAGCTGGTGAGCTCACAGCAGTGTGCTGCTGGCACTGCTGCAACGACCAGCACACTTGCAATGATTACTGATGCAAAGTCACATTTAGGGTGTCATTTATTGGAAGTCAGAACACCCATCTAAATGCTGTGATAAAACAGTAACTCCCATACAGACTGAGAATTAACCTTATATGACATAAAGCAAGAGAGAACGACAGGAAATTGGAAACGAGTGCACACCCACTCCTGTGGAACAGGACAGTGTGAGATTAAGAGGTGACGGGACACAGTAAGAGGACTTCCCCATACTAGAGAGTTTTAACTTGGGAGAGTTCCCCTGAATCTCAAGCAGTATTCATTGAAGTGATAAAAGAATGATGATGGAACTAGTGGGAACATCTGGAATAGACAGTCTGAAAGCACACTTTTGGGGTGGGAGCTGTTGGTTGCTCTGTCACAGCCACTGTTCTACAGCCCATCGTGCTTCTCAGACGACGGTGGAGTGAAAGGACTGGCAGGAAAGGCAAGGCTGGATGCATTCATAGTAAAAATCCCACTGAGATTCACTGCACACAAGCTGAAGAACAGCGGGAGGCTGCCCACCACGTGAACACCTGTCTGTACAGCTTTAAGTACACCGCAGGCAGTTCCAGAAATGTCAGCAACAGCATTTGCTAGGCAGAGCTGAAGGTAATCAACGGAGATGGGCAGCTAGTTCAGCCGCTCTTCGGTGGCAGCACGCAGAGATGCTGATGGGCTGAGCAAGACTGCAGATCCTACTGCAGGAACCGGAGAGATGACTGCAAACACAAGGCACAGTCAGCTAGGGACGGAGCGACACAAACAGGCGGCATGGAGCAGCCTCCGGAATTTGAAAATAAACTTTGGGACTGGTAGAGGTTCACACACAAAAAAAGGAGACACTGCAATGAAACTGCCGCTGACCTCATACGCACATTGGCTCTACCTTCTGGCAACTGGACTTAAACACTGGGCCTGAAAGGTGCCCAGGCCAAGTCTCTAGTCGTGCACAGTATCCTTACACAGCCTTTACCTGATAGAGTCATCCTTTTCAGGCTTCCTAGCAAAGAACACCTGCAGGGTTACATCAGCCCGTGGCACATAGAAACTACGTGACAGATTTATTGTCGTGTGCTTGTTTCACAACCCTTTTTCTTCTACTGTCAAAGGAGTAACTTAAAACTCTTAAGGAGGAATACAGTTCTTTAAAACAACACTCGTTTGAAAGCTGGACACTTTGTGCAATACTTAGCAAAAAAATAACAGAAAATAAAAAACAAAACAAAATTTGAGCAAAACAAAATCAAATTTAATGTTCTTAAATGCAAAAGTAAAAACAAACAAAAAACACAAAAAAGCAAAAGAAAATTAACAGAAACAGAACAACTCAAAGTTTCAAGGCAGTCTGCAGAAAACTTGGGGGATTAATCTTTAAATCTACAAATCAAAGGGTTTTTTTGTTAATATCTAACTTGCAAGTAGTAAGTACTTTTCTGCTGAGTGTTCAATAAGTAAAGCTAGTTGTCAAAACAAAATCCTATTAAAATAGAAAAAAAATCTAGCACTCATTAGAAGGGATGCGAGAAATACAATGCTCAAATGTTTATAACTGTTTTTTTCTTTACAGAATACAACTACCAAAGGAATTCAAACTATAATGATCTTTGAAAATGAGTAAGTATCTTGCTGCATTACAATGTACCAGTAAGTAGTGCACCATGCATTAAATACTTGGACAGAAGAGATTCAGTTTGATAAAGTAGCAACATATATATTCACACTCTCTTTTTGGAGTTTCATTTTGAGTCTGAAATCTTCCTGGAGTTTCTCTGAAACTCTTTGGTCCATTCCTATTAGAAAGTGGGCTTTAAAAGTAATGTTTTCTAAAAACCTTTGAATTTGACAGCTCGGCCACTGCTCAGTGTGCAACTTACCTCATCAATGGTGTTAAAAGTTATGCTGGCATGCTACTACTTACAAGACCTTGACTTTAAAAAGCCTAATCCTCAACTACAGATGCAGTAATGAGTATTAATTCATCAAACAATTTACTGTCAACTAAAACATTAGTATTTCTCAACTTTTCTTCCATACTACTGAGTCTGGGGTAGAGGAGGTCAGGGGAATGGGTAGGAAAAACAACAAACACAAAAAACAAGAAAATTAATGAATTCAGCCTGATATTTTTTTTCAGAAAATTCCAGTTTTTGCAGACAACATTCAATGGAACAAATGTTAGTCTCATAAGTGAAAGCATGCTTCAATTTTACCACCATCCAGAGGGTCTAGTTAATGCAATCTACTTAAGATTTCAGGGGATTTTTAACATGTTTTAAATGAAATAACTTAAAGGAACTTAAAATTGGTCTAACATTGTGGGATTTCAAACATTTGAACATGTCAGTTGCATCCCAGAATATAAAACCTTTTTCACTTCTCATTTAGACTAAGACAAACACTTGTGAAAATTGGCGCAAAATGAGTTTTACACTAACAAAAATGTTTCAACTTCTGTCACTCAATTATCTATTCCATACAAAAAGCACGAGCAAGTTATTTGTGGGACTTGTTGGTTTTGAAGGAAACCTGTAAGATTTTGTCCCCCAGGCGGTAGCCATTAAGACTTGCTATGGCCATTGCAGCTTCTTCATAGTTTGTCATGGTCACAAAACCAAAACCTTTGCACTTGTTGGTGTTGAAATCTCGAATAACTTTCACATTGGTAACCGCACCAAAGGGGCCAAACATCTGCCAGAGGATTCCCTCATCAGCATCTTGACCAAGGTTGTAGATGAAGATACACCAGCCAGAAGATGCGTTTCCTGGAACATTTACACCAGAAAGCCCACTCATGTGATCTACACCCATAGGAGAGAACCTAGCAAATAAAAAGCACAATATTTCATGTAAAAGTTCAATTCAATTAAGCAAGTTAACTTGAATGGGAAGCAACTGAGAATGAATATTTTTCTACATGGACATCAAAACTGCCAGAAAGAAATGTTTCCCCATTCAAATTGACAATCAAATTGACAGCTGCCAGGAAGGAAAAAGTTAAGTATTCCATCTACTTTATCAATAGGGCACTATCCTTGGACATAGGTAGGCAACAGGACAGTTGCAAGGCAAGATTATGTGATCACCTTCACAGGGGACCTGGGTTGATCTCAAACTCAGCCAGGCTGTTAAGAGTGCTCCATGGCATCAGTGCAGAACTACTGAGTGCAGGTAACAGGCAACACCTCCCCAGAGGCCCCAGCTTGCTTCAAGCCACCCTCGGGCATCTCCCGCTTATTCTGCTCAAGGGGATTGCATCCCATATCCTCCTTTTCTTGCCTCTAAGATAGCACATTGGGAACTCTTAAGTCAAACAGTTTCTTTGGGTTTTGCTGGGGCGGGAGGGAGTTTTGTTTTTAGGAGTAGAGAGCGTGCGTTATTAATTTAAATTTCTTTTTTTTGTGGAATAGAACAAAGCCTACTCCCTTTTCCACCATAAGGCAGCAGGTGCTGGCAAACACTCCCAATACGAGCAGGCTACTGGGTAAGCCACATCTGTGCATACTCACAGCTACTAGGCAGCTAAGAAAATAACGGCACTTCGTCAATTCTCAGTAGCTGGGATGCCCCACACTTCTAGCTACAGAATTTAAATCTCACGTTTTTATTCCTTCATACTGGTTATGCAGATATTCTAACTAGAGTAGCTTTCAAACATCAAAATAGCAAACCACATTTAAGTACACAGTTTCACAATTTCAGTATGCATGTATGGTTTTCTTATTTATTTTATACCAACTTCATAAAAGGAAAACTTATCTGACTTTACTGAACTGGATTTTTTAAAACACCTACCCACTCACTCTTCCTAAACCCCATCTCCTGCCCAGTACCCCAGAAGTATTTATGCAAAAACCCTTTCCTTTTTAGGTCTTGCTTTGTATTATTTTCTCTTCTCCTACAACCCACATCCCTAATTCCCCTTTATTCTACTTCTGCTCTCCATCCTAGAAATTCAAAGCTTCAGAATATTTTAATGCAGTATTACAGTTGCACAGCTAAGCACTCAAAGGTCAGGAAATGTGAAAGTTAAGGCAAAAAACTCTATTTGATCCCTTGTGCTTATGTATTATTTAAAAATGTGAGGTCACGTGATTGTAGAAATATAATTATACTATACCAGGGGTTCCCAAACTGTGGTGTACCACTGGTGATATGCAAACCACTTAAAAGCGGTACACGTGCTGCTCTCTGCCAAGAACATGGCGGTGGCAGTTCCTGATTCTCTGCTGACCTGGAGAAAACAGGGAATGGATGTCTGGGCAGTGAACGCTGCATTAAGTGCCAAACACTTCCCCACTGACTTTTTCTTGCCCTGCATAAAGGTAGGAGCTGCTGTAGTCTTTCTATAGAAGGGAGGGCTCAAGGCAACGTGCATCAGAAGGAAGGGGAGCAGAGCTGCAGCAGCACACACACACACAGGGAAGTCAGCTCATGTTCAGTGTGGCACTTGGCTTGATGCACTCACACAAGATAACCACTCAGTCCCCATCTCCCCCGCCCCAAGCTCTCTGGTGCCCAGAGAGCTCATTTCCTTGGATGCCTGAGCTATCAGACCCTCCTGGACCCAGAGCAGGGGGAGCCCTTCCCCTCCATCACACCCTAGCTGCTGCGGGCTGCCTGGAGGCACCGGAGATGACCTGGCCCAGCTGGCTCCCTGCCACTGGTGTTTCCAGAGCCCAGTGCGGACACACCTGAGCTCATGCCGCACATACTCACTGCTGCTGCCACTGTTGGCCAGCCCCAAGCAAATCCAAGTTTGGGAATCCTTGTACTACAGTAAAACTGAAAAAGCAGTTAAGAGTATCAGAATGTGAATGAGACGCACTAATCCGTGTGATCTGATGATTATGTGACATATCTACAATTTGGTTTGCTTTTATTTTAAAATGTTCCTGTGTTTGCATGCTTTATACACTTACTTTTTCTGACAGACACCTTCAGTTCTGTAGCTTCTTTCCATTTAAGTAATGATCTGGTAGGATGTATTTATCTTAATATCTGGAAAGTTTTCATCTCAACAGATCACCAGTCTTGGGTTCCTGCTCACGTGTACGGGAGCAGAAAATCTCTAAGCTCAGAACTGCCTGATGTTGGTTCCAGCAGTCAGTGTAGCTCTGAACCTGCTTGCTATAAAGCCTCAGGCTCTGCCCACAAGCCCAGATCAACAGTACATCAAGGATTGGAAACACTTGTAAAAGAGCAGCTGGGGGTTCAACACAGGAAGACGACAAGTCTAAATGCATACTACAGGCAAAATAATTTAAAATAGCAAGTACCTCTGTTCTTTGGATACACTTTCAAACAGATTCTCCTCTTCCTGCTTTGATTCACAAAAATGTTACTGTTTTTTTAAAAAAAACAGGGTAGAAACACCCCTAAAAGACTTGAAGAGTCATTTGAAAAAAAACAACAATAGGAAACATAACTGCACACATAATATTCCTCTTACCCAGTTCTAATATGATTCCAAAATGAAGCTATACTTTGCAAGTTTACATGAAAAAAGAAACCTTTCACAAAAGTTTCTGGTTGGTTAAAAAGCAACCATTAAAAAAAATTTGCAAAAATGACAGTAAACATAATATAGGATTAGACCTATGTGGAAGGCTAAGTTTACGTTTAGACTTGCATCCACCTGGAAGCACGACACAGGACAGAGGCCATGAGCGAGAGCACTCACGATGAGTAGAGCGGGCTCCTACTGCAATTCAGCTGAGCTGATAAATCTCTATGCTTATCCTGGACTGAAGGCCTGCACAAGAGGGACACAAGATCTCTTGGTTAGCTTGGGATAACAGCCTGTACGTAGCCTGGCACAGAGCAGCTGACATGTAATAACTCTTTATCCTACAGGAAAAAATTTCTCTGATCACACAAATTTAAGATGACTCTTAGAAAGTTATACTTAAGGATGTTTACAATTTGGGCAAACACTAAAGCCCACAGAGATCCAAGATGTTTCAATGTTTTATAATTCCATTAATACTGTAAATTTCAAATGATCTCAGTCTTCTCATACTTACTGCTGGTGCCCTCATTTTTGTTGTGTTTATTTTTGTACTGTCTCCTCCACGCGGCTTTTTCAATCCTCCCTAAGCATCTGTAGATGATGTTATCTATGGATGGTTCTTTTAAGTCATGCTAGCCTCAAAACTCCAACATCTTGTGACATTAAGTATCAACACAGTGTATTTTTAATTATATCTTTTTCACTTTATAAGCTTCTCGTTTATGTGAACAACCTTTTGCTCTACAGTTATGAGACAGAAATCTCCATTTAATAGATTGTGGGATTACTTTAACACACTAGAGGACAATCTCAGAAATGACACTCCTAAATGAAAACAACTTATTTTTAGTTCTGTGAAAGTCCTATAAATTCTTTTTGCTGGATTCTCTGCAATCCGAAGACAGCTATACACAGTATCGCAAGTGGGAGCAATCCCACATCTTACACAATGCTAATAAGCAGTAATATTTTTAAATATTAGCCTATGTTGCCTTCTCACATGAGCTTGGAATCTTTCTATTTTTGAACAGTTCCATAAAGAGCAGGAGTTCAACTACACTGATAACAGGCACATCCACTGTTTTCCCCACAAGCAATTTTTTCTCCTATACCCCAATACAGATAGGAACAACCTCCAGTGTACAAAACAAGGCTTGTTGAGAAGTCAGTGATACAAGCTTTAAGCCTGAAATAACAGGGTGCTAAATTAAACAGCCACGTATCAGAGAGCAGCAGCAATAAGGGGTTTCAGTGCCACAAACTGCTAGGAGTTCGATGAAGTACTACTCTGGATGTTTTTCTTCTGTGGCTTTGTCAACACAGGCAACTTGCATCCAAATTACAAATTTGCTTCAAAGCTGAAAATTTGAAACATTTCACTGAAGTGAAAAACAGAACAGATGCATGGGAGCTGTTTGATCAATAATGGCAGCAACAAGGTGAAACACGCTAATGTCTTCTCGCATTTCCCCTTGAGCAAAGAATTATCAAGAAATAACAACTCCCCCTACAAGCATTTTGGGCCTAACTGATAGACTCTGATATCAACAGAAGTATGCACATTAAAGTAAGTGGGAACTGGCTCCAACCCTGATCAAGTCTGAAAGCAAAACCACCTGAACTGGGAATACTTTCGAGATTTGAAAGAAGATTGTTCCAGCATAAAGCTCTAGTGAGCTGTAAAAGCGCAGGAGTTCTGGGGACAGCCTTCTCAAGCTTTAGGAGCCAAACTGCTTAATTGCCGCGGAGTTCAACACCTAAAGATCTGCTCTTCTGTTTAAGCAAACAAATCTGATACCCAAAAGAAAGCCTTGCCCCAGGGGTTCTCTCTATCCTCCACGCACTATCCCATGCTGAAGCATCATTCCTCCCGGATGGAAACAGAACACACTTTGGACTGTGTCTCAGGATTAGCAGGTGAACCCAGCGCTCAGCAGGACAAGGCATTAAGACCAGTTCCTGATGTGAGCCACAAATACCACAGGAACTACAAGGGATTAACAGAACACTAAACAAAAGAGTCTGAGCAATATCTGTAGGAAATTAATAATTACAAATTAGAGATACTAAAGGTTTAATCCCGGATTTACAGGGATATGATGGAATGAGATGAAGTGTAATCAAAATGTCAGTTTAAGTATTCAACCTCTTTGTAGCAGAGACCACAAGTGTAATTTATACAGCCTGTGAGCTCTTCTGAAGCAGCTTATCCTTTCATCATGTTTTGTTCACTACACAAAACAAACAAGACTCAGTCCAAGCTAAGGTTCCTAAGCTTTACCACAGTATGAATAATTGTAACTCATTGAATTCACCACCCTTTTAGGAAGGCTCACTAGAAAAACTCGCAGTTAACACCAAGGGTGAGAAGTCAGACGGGCTGTGGGATGGTGTGTGCGTTGTGCATACATGTACATATGTTTATGCACGCGCATGTGACCGAGGGAAGGAAGTTTTATAGTAAGTGTTAGAGTTCTTGCAAGTCTGTGACAAAACATGGAGAGACGGACAGTTCTTGTCAAGTCAGCTGGTGAATCTTGTCTCCATAGTTATGTGTAACACCGTGGCTTAGCCCAGAACTGTCCTGTCACTACCTCTGCCAGCCTGCAGTACCTACAACTCTTCAGCTCTTCCTCCATCAGCAAGCTGATAACTTGGAGCAGAAGTTGACCAAAATGTGTTGACAAATGAGCACTGGGCACAGATGATTTGAGGGGACATAGTTACCACAGAAGCAGGAATGGAACAGACAGACACTTTCTTCTGTCTTATCCCCACTTGTGAAAACCCATGCCTATAGAAACATGGGAAATGCACTGAAATAGCACTAATGCTGCTCTTCATGGTACAATAAAAGAACAATGAACAAACCAGCCATTAAAATTTAGTTTCACCTGCAACTACTAACACAAATATATTAATCATTTTTACTGTTACTGAGTGATCATTACAGGACAGAATTAGTTATTTAGTATCTTAATTATGGATGTATTATTTGTACTGCTTATTCTGATGCACCTTAATTCTGTTATAAATTTTAAGGGGAAGAATGATGATGAAAATGTCCAATTACATTAAGAATGAAAACATGAGACATAAGCCTCAAGATTTTACTAGGACCGGGACACACTGTAGCCCTGGCTGATGCAAAAAGACAGATGTGTAAGTTTTTTAATATTTCACCTAAAATGTAGAATTTAATTCCTTGGTGTGGCTTAGAAGGTTTGGGTATGGAGATCTGGATGAGGGCTTCGGGGAATCGAAAACTTATCTGAGGAGCTGCCTGCACTAAACTTGCCTGGGCTACAGGTGAAGAGAATCAGAGAATGAGTGAGGTTGGCAGGGACCTCTGGAAATCCTCTAGTAAACTCCCTGCTCAAAGCAGGAGCACCTACAGCAGGTTGCTCAGCCCCGTTCCAGCCAGGTTTCGAGCATCTCCAGGATGGACACTCCACAGGCTCTCTGAGCAACCTGTTCTATCACCCTTAGTGTAAAACAAGGGATGACTATGAAGTACTAATTCTCACTGGGGAGACATTACACCTAGCTGTTCTTAAAATGCTGAACTAAAGCATTATGGAAAGGTCACAGCAATACTGTAACAGTAGCACTACAAAAATATATTTTAGTTTTTAGTCCAATTATACTAAGCTAATTGGATATCTCAGAGGAGAAAAAGAATAAAAAAAGTAAGTTCTCAACAGGGATAGACTACACTCAAACTCTCATGAGCACATCTCAAAGCCAATTACTTACCAACAAGACAGTAAATAAAATGCATTTTCCAGAGCACAATCCAACTATCAACACCCTCCTTTAAGCAACTAAAGCAATTCAAATTCAAACAATTCATATTCAGAACAACTAAGGCAGTTCTCAAAGGCAAAATACATGATATCTTCCGCAGCTCTGGAAGCAGACAATACGCTGCAATTACTCAATCTCACTGAACTTGTGAGGACTCTTCCCTTACAGAACACTGCACAGCTCAAGACGTAGGCAGAAATCCCACCGAATCCCTTCATCGGCAATAAGGATCCTACTTTACTGACACCTCCCTGCTGGAACCAATGGTTCAGAGCTTTCATTAAGTTGCCAAATTATATCTGCATTCACATATGTGGACTACAGAATGGGGATCTGTTGAGACAAGCATCTACCAATACCCATCTGGAATCTGCTACTTTTACCATCTCGCTATAGACTCAACTGAAGAAACAGACACCGTAGTGTATGTAGCTCTACGTAATTAACTTAAATATAAATTTTACAAGTGAGATTTCAATTTAATCATATTTTAATTCAACAATTTATTTACATAACACACAGTGCTCTATGTATTCATTCACACATGCTGCAATGAAGTTATTACTGCACAGCTGCAGGAGTGCAGTTTCCCAGACGGACACGGGAACAGTAGGACAGCCTTAAATGCATTATTCCTCCTAACCTACCTGAATCTTTGCGCCTGGTGATGCACTGGCCCTCCAAACCGTCTAGCTGGTGAATGACACAGCTGCGATAACAGTGCCACATTTTTGTTCTGGTTAGGATTGGCTGCAAACTTCACTGTAATGGGTTCGGAGGAACCTGGGGGTTTGTGACCATTGAAATTTGTAATTGCCTCTTCTGCTTCTGACCTTTTGTCAAACCGGATAAATGCGACCAAAAAAAAAAAAAAAAAAAAAAAATTGAAGTTCAGGATAAACTCAAAATAACTTTGAAAGCAAAAAACGAAAAAGTTAAATATTTCTATGGTCACGGCTTCCAAGTTCTCTACATTTACTAATGTTTCTTCAGCAGCTAGAGGATAAAATACAAAATTAAGAAACAAAAGACAAATTAACACATTCATTTCAGCCATAACAACCACAGTGACTCAAACACTTAAAAACACACCAGTGTGGTAGAATTTCATGAAACCCTTCACCAACTGACATTTCCGTTAACAAAAAAAGCCTCCCAACATTTTAAATGAATTAAAAAAAAAATTAATTCTAGTTGGTTAAAAACAAAACAAAATCCCTTAGCTTTGATTATCACTAAAAAGCATCTGCAAACAAAATTGACACCATTTTGCAAATATTTTCAGCTTTCCACGCTGAAAGCACACTCTGGTTCATAGAGGAGGGCACAAAGGTCTAACTGTACTAAAGCAGTTTAACCTTTTGCAATGAAGAGATCACAATTTCATCAATGTCACGTCCATTATTTCTAGCTGTCACATACCTTATTTTTAATTCATTAAAAACTGATTAAGAATTACCTCTTGGTAACTGTACTGGAACAATTACACTGCTGTTAAACACTTTCGTACTTTTTTCCCCTAGTTCCAGACCTCAGGCACTGAATGCTGTTATCCTGACTGAAGCAGAAGTTACGCCTTACGAGATCTCTCCCTCTCACCCCTGGCTTCTCACCTGTGACTTGACCACAGTCTGGAATTATTGTTTGTCACAGTAAAGCTAAAAGGGTACATTTTGTTTAAATGTCATTCCAAAGCAGATATCATGGCTAGACCAATTCTAGGACTTTACCAGCTCTGTTTCAGAAAGGGCCGTATCAAGTATTTTCATGCTGTCTCGTCTCTACACCCACACAGGGCAATCTTCAGAGGCAGTTTCAGAAGTCGTAATTTATGTGATAAGATTAAACAAGTTGTTTACAACAACTGAACATGATTTCTTGTACTTCACAGAAACAAATACAGCATGACAGAACCCTGGGCACGCAGCAGGCAAATAAAGGGAACCCAACCCCTACAACCACCCATGGAATGGTCTCTAGGAAAGGCGGATTTTCCTCTGGGGCACCGGGACAACTTCCATAACTAACAACTTATCTTGTTGACTGCACGTTGTTAAATATGCAAAGTCACACAGACTTAAAGTTCCTGAGTCACTGTACTTTTTGAAGAAAAAAAACCTGCAGAATAACAGCAGGAGATGGCTAGCAGCAGCTCTGTGGCTGGTGTTTCTAGAGTGATCTGGAAAGGAGTCAACCTATGAGGAAGTTATTCCGGTTTTGATTTCTTGCTGGTTACTTCCAAAACAGGAGGCTGGACCAGATTGGGTCATCAAATTAGAGCTGACTGCACTATATGCCCCGATACCACTGAGATCAGCCTTTCTGTGCCAGGAGGAACCACATGCCCCACCCTGGAAAGGCACAGAACAGCAGCATCGCCCAGAAGTCAGCAAATACTACCCCAGAGTCCAACCTACTGTCACTACTTCTCCACTTCCAAGCTGTTTGTCTTAGTGCTTCCCACCTGAACTATCATAGCATTCACTTAGAAAAAGAAATATTGTAGAAAACATGTTTTTAAGCAGATTAATTCTCAAAAGCTAGAAAACAACCTCTGCTGAGAGGGCATATCTAAAAGCATAAATTAAAAGTTTGTCCTAACTGGGAATAGATCAAGATATGAAACAGGTTTGAAAGCCAAGGTATGGCTACATTCTTGAAGGGAAAGGAAACCCAGGCTATGCATTCATTAAACTTTACATTATAAAGAGAATACATTCTTCAAACAATACATACATTATTTAGGTTATTTGAGAGCAAGCAGTATATTCTGAGCTGACACTGCGTTAGACAGCATCATGCCTCAGCACACTCAACGAACACTGGATTATTCCTGGAGAGATTTTAATTGCATGACTTCTGTCATCCCATTTCATAGCTCTGTCAAAGACAGATGCTAGCTATCTAGGTTCCACTGGCAGCCAGAGAAGGAGGACTGTTTTGGACACCTGTTAAGTTTTCTGTGCTCTAGAATTCTTTTTCTTGCTTCTACCTATAGCTGTCACCAAGATAACTGGGCCTGGAGACAGAACGATACGGATATCGAAGTTGGACAAAACGAATCCTCCTTTCCAGGACAGGAAGGATAGGATTTTCCTCGCTCAAGACGCCAAGTGTCTACAATGTCAGTATCCAGATCTCATCCAGTCACCTCAGACTTCTCTTGCGCACAATTGAGTTTACAGCGTGGTCTGACCAAATCAAAGCACTGAAAAGCAGATGCCTGTCCAAGGAGCTAGCTCTGATGGAAATACTTAACACTGCGGACTTTAGCATTTAGCCAGATTAATCCCACCAAAAGCTGCTGGTGGCCTACTCTAAATTACAGCAGATTCCTCACAGAGCATGAAAGTTGCTGCTTAACTACGGTGTATAAATGTACACACTATCTAACTGGTAGAATTAGATGAGCTTCTAATACAGCACATGCATAATCAATGAAAAGTGTATTTGAAAAAGTTCTCTGCAGTATGGGCTACTGAAAAACACAGAACACCTAAGGTTATAGCATAAGGCATACTCTTCAATTACATAATCTGAAGTAATTAGGTAAGGAATTAAAACTTTGAAAACACACCATAACAGACTTAGAATTAACATTATAAAGGAAATCCTTAACTTTGGTCTCTCCTGAGCTGAGTGCTTAACTAAGCAACTTCCCTTTTTCTTTCTTTTTTTTTTTTTTAAACAAACAAAATACATCCAGAAAATTCAAGAGGGTAATACTGAGTGTATTAAGTTAATTCTTTTGCTTAGCAGTAACCACAGAGGACTGGCAATACCTCAAATGTTTTAAAATATGAGAAAATTGTGAGAGTTCCAAATTAGTATTAAACATAAAACATTGGTTTGCTTTTTAATATATAACTATGGCCTGGAATTTACCTGTGGATAATAGTTGAGTATGTGCAAAATAAAGGTAACATTAGCATTCCAGATTAAGAACATTGCCCAGAGGCACACTGCACTACAGTAATATCAAGTGTCATAGCAAGAGAGAAGATCTGGCAAACCAGCAGCTCAGCCTGACAATAAGAGCATAAAATATGATACAAGGTTTAGACTGCAAGCTAGCAAAGGAGGCAGCCAAGTCATCCTGTGTTTTAAAAAAATCATTGGAAAAAGCTATCCCATTAAAATTGTATCAGTGGTTGACACCAGATGTTGTTTGCGAAAGTCTCATTTAGTTTAAGAACTGCCAGTCTCAGGAAAGTGTCAAGTGTGCTACATGCACCACAGTTTTACCAAGCTAATGCAACAGAACTCACCTGTAGTTTGATCCACAAGCACGCGTGAGTTAATGATGCGTCCAAAACGTGAAAACATATCTTCTACATCTTTTTGTGTCATTGACCTTGGTAGTCCACTAATATACAAATTAGCATCCTTAATAACTTCAGAACTTGGACGAGCATAGGAAACCTTAAAAAAAACCCAACAAACATACATATGTTCAGGGCGCTACATAAATCCATTCAGTTTGAGATTATCCAACAGATGAAAAAAAATATAGCAGTAATGCAATAAAGAGACAGCAGCAGACTAGTGCTCATGCTTTCAAACTTATCTGCTACACTGAAGAATCCCTGTCTGAAGTTCTGACTCTGATACTGGGCCTGTTAGTAACCACAGATCACACAAAAAACTGTACTGACAGCACAAGTTCTTGAAAGCCTCAAAAAGATTTTATCAGCTCGAGTGCAGTTTTCTATCTTAATTTCTGCTACCAGATAAAGTTACAAATATCACCTAAGCAGGTGTGATTTCCACATACACAGTACTGGCTGTTATTTCAGAAAAGGAATGCAGGTGTATTAACACAATTTAAAACGAAATGGAGATCATCGGCTATCTGAGATGCACGTGAATTCAAAAGCCTGGCAACACCTCGGAATGGTCCCACCCAATGCTGTAAAAACGGTGGGAATGTAAAAAAGGGAATCTTTGAATACAAAGCTGCTACAAAACCCGAGAGGCTTAACAGCTCCCTTCGCTGCTCTTCTCCCAGGTGCTACCCTTCTTGCAGCTGGAGAGCACACAAGCCTTACCATCAGAATGAAGTTTATTAGAGTGCCATTTTCACAGAAGACTGAAAAAAATCTAAACATCCTACCTTGATAGTTTTTGACTGAAGTCTGAGGCCATTCAGTGTGTTTATTGCTCTTTCAGCATCTTTTGCAGTAACGTAGTTCACAAAGCCATAGCCTAAGCTGTGTCCTACATGGAAGAATATTTTTTTTAATTAATCCTAACAAAAGGAAGTTATCACCATCAAAATTAAAGGAAATGCAAATGAGAAAATGGACTCAACGTAAACAATCCACACAGCAATTAAGTAAGCTGAACAAGTTTCTCGAGGCTGACATACATAAGCTCTTTCATTTGCCACTTCGGTCACCCCTCTGTCTTCGAGTGCGTATCAGACGGCCGCAGATGATCCATCAACAGTAGGAAATTCAAGACTAAAATACCAACTCTGAACAGTCTTGTAAACAATGGGTGTTGAACAAAGGCAAGAATTTAACAAAGTTCATTAGCACAAACTCTTGTAGATAAAGAGCAGAAAGTGAGAAAGCATCAACTGCTGGGTAAGAGATCATCAGGTTAGTCATTTCTCTGTAGCTATTCCAACCGTCACTCCTGGAGAGAAGAGGGAAAAAAATTTTCAAGCCTTCCAACATCCATACAGCTAACGAGCAGTAAGTCTCCCAAACACAGGATGGAACTGAAGAGTGAAAAACTCTCTTTAATACAGACAACTCATGGACTATTACTTTAAGTTCACTCTTAACTCTTACAAATGTAATTTCATACTAATAATACAAGTCCTTAAAACATTTAAGGCAAAGGATATTTATTTGGATGCTTATTTCTTCTTCTTCTTCTATCTCCAACATACTACTATCAATTGTAACACAACATACTAAGATCATTTGGGGTTCCAGTTTCCAAACAATTAGAGGCTCTTATTGCTGTCGACCTAAAACCTAAAATATTTAATGACTGTCTCAGTGCAATAAAGCAACTCCCAATCAATAAGAGATACACATTTTTCAGACATTGTCTCAGTCAGATGTATGGAATTTTCTAAAGAAAACTGTAAGCAGGCACAGGAGAATATGCCGTTTTACTTTAACAATAAACTATTTGGATTATTAAGCTCCACTGTTAGGCTTAAGAACACTAGAAGACACAACCAATCGTTATGGTAGAGGATTCTCTTCTGAAATACAGCCCATTTGTAATCACAGTGTGGCTCTGCAATAGACTTAGCTGGCAAGGAAGTTTTCTTACATTTCTAGACATGCCTGAACACCAAATATCCCTCTCCTTTCCCTTCTCCCTCCCTGCCTAGGTCAAATAGTGATTATCCCAGAAAAAAAAATGTGAGGGCAACTGAAGAGAAGGGCTCTAACACACACTGCAGATTAACTCCATCTTCTGAAAAAAGAATCACCGGTCTACTGAGGGCATTGAGACCTACAAGTCTGAAAACCACAAGGGATGGAAGCAAGCTCCCAATATCCGTCCAAGTGGTATTACTACCCGCATACAGGACAGACTGACTGCAGAACAGCAGCACAACTCCTGGCATGTCCTCTGCATCTGTCTGCTTTGTTTTGAAATGTAACAGACCAGTAACTCATCCAAATAATGTCACTGCCTGTTTCCTAATGCACTCCTTGTATAAACAGTCCCAGTTAATTGTTACTGTCTGCTAAAGCTCTTAAAGAAACCACATCCCCTGTGTTCAGGATGCTGTTCTTGTCTGAGGGTTGTTCTCTTAGACCTCGTGTTAAAACATCTCCACTAGCACAGATCAAACTTTTAAACAGCAAATCACTCTTCGATAGGCTTTAACTCTACACAGGAAACAAAGAAATGCACTAAAAGCACCTTAATGCTTTAAAGATCTACCAATAACACTGCTTGGGATTTTGCAGACATACCTTGCATGTACCTACAGCATGGGCTTTGATTTCTTTATAACGTTCATTTTCTGTTTTATTACACAGAGATGGTCAATCGTTCAGATCAAATCTGTTTAGTTCACAATCACTTGCCTACTGAGATTATCTTCCTCTGATTAAGAAAACAAATAATTTAACAATTAGAAAAATGTTTGGTAACTGGACCCTGGCTTATTTCTCCAAAGTCTGACCAAAAAAACAAAGATAAGTTTAAGAGGGAACAAACATCACACAGACAGCAGGCAATGACTTTTCTCCCCCCCAAGAGGATGGGAAGAGTCTGACACCCCTCACAGGCCCAGCGTGCCAGCACCTGTTCTGCAGGTTCAGAGTACCAGCTGCTTTATAGATACTTTCAGTCTTTCCCAAAAGCCAAATAAACATGAATAATCCAGCAGGCTACTGAACAGAACCAGGTCCTAATAAAGTTTATGGAAATAGGCCCTTAAAGATGAGGGAAACAGATTTCAACATGACTAATCCTCCGAGTTTGAACCACTGAGCCCCAGCAGTCACGGCTGTCACTCCCTGGGTGGATGCTGCACTGGGGAAGGGGTGACTACACTCTTCTGACAGAGGAAGAGCAGGATTCCACACTGTATAAATTTATTGAACTATCTTCAGTACTCCGAGCCACAGAGATCAGGGGCTCAGCCTGTGACCAGTGAGAATGAGTATCCTTCCAAATTTTCTTGCAACAAGTTCCCTGAGAACACTGTAGGCATACAACTGTTTCTTAGCCAGCAGCTTCCTCGCAAAGCATCAGACAGGTTATGTGTTTATGCACCGTTTGAGATCAGTGAGAAGGAAGATTAAGCCACTTAGTTTTGGTTTTATCCCATATAAGTAACAGCACTCATGGACATACACGATCTGGGTCCAGTCCCTGTAATCACAAAACATAATCAAGCTGCACATTAAAAGCAGTTAAGAATTTTGTCCCAGGCACTCCAACTGAATGTTTCACAAACTCCCTCCAATGCTCTTCCTTTTCTAAATGCAGGTCTTCATACTTCATATCCACTTGTTCTCGCACAAATACTGTCCTTGAGCTTACACACGCTTACCCCTCCAAGTGTCTGTTCCCCAAAGTACACACTAGCAGTGAGGATATATCTCCCCTTGGCCTTCTTTACTGTTTTCATCCAAGCAAAATTCTGCAACTTTTCCACTTCTAATTTTATAGAGGTTGCTCAATGACTATTCAATGACTATCAGAGTTCAAATACCTTGGGAAAAGAGAGGACAGGCATGGAATGGGTATAGAGAAACACACACAGATTAAAAAATAAAGGGTCTGAAAAGTGGCAGGATTACAACAGTTACAAGATTTTCTTGTATTTGCTGTAGGTACTTGACAATGTTTGTACTAAAACCTAGAAATTACAGTCCTGTTAACTTTTTTACCTGCCACAAGATAAGAAAATATCAATTACCCATCCTTCTCTACAAAAAACTAGAATACAGACCTCCCTTTTAGTCTGTACTTACCTTTAAATTACATCAGTGTAACATGACTTTATAGTCCTTAAGTGTTAAAAAAAAAGCCAAATCGTTCAAAATTGAAAACATGTATTAACTTATCTTGCTCTACATACTTGATACCATCAGTCTCAGCCATCTCCTGCCATTTGGTTATGAGTTTTAACCTCTCAACAGGCTGGGATATCTACCACATGACAGTCCTGTCATCACAAGAGGCACGTTCAACTGTTCCCCTGACAGATCACTCTTCAGGAATATTCTCTGCTTCAAAATTTGACCCCACATTCTCTCCACCTAAACAGTACAAACTACCTTCCTTTTAGGGCATGACAGAAAATATATAAGGAACTGACATTTATACAGAATTATGATTTCTGTCAAGTGTTTACCTCGGGCAACGAGACCAATTATTTCATTTACGGTGATGTTAAGAGCCTGCTAGAAATCTATCACGCAAAAGAAAGCAGTGCTGTGACAAGTTTTCAAACTATTTCAGTGGATAGTAAATTAAAGATCCTTTAAAAAAAAAAACACCTTTAAAAAAGTTTGCATATACATAAATACAAATGTACTCAAGAGACAAAGATTTTTAAAAGCAACAAATAGGTCCTTATCTGGATGAATAATTAACAAAGTGACCATAAAACCTAGTTTTAAGGAAACTACTACGCTCCTTCAGTAGAAAAGAATCTAGTTTTGTTTCCATGATAAAAAGCCCTTTCATGAAAGGGAGCACTCATTTTCTTTCTGTGCATCACTTGGTTTTCTGTCCATGTCCTTGCTTCCTTTCCCAGCTCCCCGAGACGCACAGCTTCAGTTACTAGCTCGTTTCTTATTCCCCTCCTGTTGACTGACAACTCTGGGGAGTCTAACACGAGACCAGACCTAGTACTTATTTTCCACTTCACTACAGACTATCTGTGCCCTCTAACACAGGTTCTACCCATCCAATGCTCAAGAAAACCTAAATTTAAACCTGGCTCCTGTTATGTCAGAGCACCTCCGTATAAAGGCATTTTAGTTCAGAATGTTTTCTGAACTTGGGAAGAGCATTTTAAGATTAAATTAAAAAAGCCCAAGTAAGTAACACAGAAGGATGGGACAGATCTCCCCAAATGTCACTCAAGGGAGGATGCAGCATCTTGGAAAGAGAGCTGGGTTTGGATTTTTTGTTTGTTTGGCTTTACAAAATGTGCTGTAAGTGATAACCAGATAGCTTAAGTATGTATGAACGCATCAAGAAGTACCACTTCTTGATGTCCAAATACCAGACATGAATGTGCTGAAAAAGCAGAATTTGAAGTGGTTACTCCGTAGTTTCAGAGGATAAGAGCAGATTAAAAGTGCTGAGATGTGCCTTGTGTGGCCTTCCTTTAGTACAGTTGCACTACTGCATAGCTGGGGATACACAATCACATCAACCCTCAGAAAAACGCAAGCACCCTTGCATCAAACTTCCCCAAAAAGGATTATGCCAACACAGAAGTGCAGCAAAGCAGAGCAAGTGATCAAAGGCTATATTCTAACCCCCTGAGACGAGTCAACACTATGCATATAGCATCTTTTGTTTCCTAACATCCTAACACCCAGGCAAACAAGCAGATGTGTCAGCAGAGCAGCCTGGCTAAGTAGGGAACTCATGGCAGAGCTCCAATGCAAACAGACAGCACACAGGAGATGGAAGCAGCGACAGCCTACGAAAGGAGGAATTTAGAAACACTGTCCGTTCTGCCTCAGGAAAGCCAGAGCTCAACTGTAGCT